GGTAGGTGGGCTTTTGGCAATTCCTAGAAGGAACGTCAGGAAATATAACACCTTCCTCAGCAAAAACCTGGACAAGGGTATTTGTTAAAACACAACACATCCATTATCCTAACTTTTAACAGCTGCTGCTGCTGGGGTGTGTGTGTGTGGTGTGTGTGTGTGTGTGTGTGTGTGTAATTTTATTTTTGGTTCAGAGCTGTATTTTTCTCTTGTTATAAAGGTATTATATAAAAGCATATCATAAAATATAAATGTAATAATAATGGCTAGAATTTATATCACACTTTACAAATATTTTATCCTCACAACAACTCTGAGAAGTAACTACTAGCTACCCCCATTTTACAGATGAGGAAAGTGAGGCATACAGAGGTTAAATGACTTGTCCAGGGTCACAAGCTAATAATTGTCTGAGGTCAATGGATAGGATGCTGAGGCTGGAGTTAGAAAAATTCATCTTCCTGAGTTCAAATCCAGCCTCAGACACTTCCTAGCTATGAACCTGGGCAAGTCACTTAACCCTGTTTGCCTCAGTTTCCTCATCTGCAAAATGAGCTGGAGAAGGAAATGGAAAGCCACTCCAACCTGTTTGCCAAGAAAACCCCAGCTGGAGTCATGAAGAGTCAGATACAACTGAAATGACTCAACGACAACTTCCTTTTTCCAGGTCCAGCACTGTACCCATGGTGCCACCTAGATGCACAGTAAGCCATACCCTTGACTTCTCCTACCCCCAGCAAAAACAAAACAAACCCTAAAAGCCCCTGTGCTTTATTAAAGAGCTATTTCTTTGTTTTCTGTTAAACTAGACAAATCCAAAGTATAAGGGAATGAAACAAATGACTTTTCTTAGAGACCTACTTAGTTGAAAATGATTAAAAGTAGATAATTCTCCACTAAGTATTGTGCCAAATGAATTCCCTATTCACATATATGCTTAGGTACTTGTATGATTTTAGTAAGAAAAATCTTGTACAGTATTAGCATAAGGGAAATCTATTATTTATCTGTTCTATATTTCTTTATATTCTTGTTTTTGTTTAAAAAACAAATAAATAGCACCAATGCCCCTGGGGCTCCTTGTACATTATTGACCTCAGTTCCTAAGAATGACCCCGTATTTGTTTGTTTCCATTGTTTCATGAAAGCTCTGAGCTCATAGATAAACTGCTCATTTCAAAACTCTGCTCTCCCATACATACCTAGATAGATCCCTTTCACAGATCTAGCCCCAAAGACAGATAAGTTTGACCTCTGACACCAAGAGGCCTATACAATATAGATCTTGAAAGGAGGGGGAAGGATGGTCCAGTGGATTTCTGAAGGTTACATGAGTCACCATGCCCTGCCTTGTGACCAGACAAGTTTCCATATGGAGACAAGAGAATCCAGAGAAACTCAGGGCAAAGCAAAGCTCCCTTTTGGGGCAGTTAGGCAGTGTGGCCGATAGAACGCTGGGCCTGGAGTCAAGAAGACCTGAATGCAAATCTGACCTCAGATGCATACTAGTTGTGTGACCTTGGGTGAGCCACTTAACCCTGTTTGCCAGAGTTCCTCATCTGGTAAAATGAGCTGGAGAAGGAAATGGCAAACCACTCCAGTATCTTTGCCAAGAAAACCCCAAATGAGGTCACGAATAGTAGAACACAACTCAACAAAACATTGTAATTCAAACCTCCATTTATTAACTGTTTTATGCCTTGAGAGTGCCTCATTTTATCCCAACCTTTGACGCTGAACAGGTTGTCAGTGTTAAGCCCAACATTAACAAAAATCTTCAGGGGCTTCATTTTGCTTATGGAGTAAAATGTAATCTCCTCGGCAGGGCATTCCAATTTTCCACGATGTGGTGCCACCCTCCTTTTTGCAGTCTTACTTCACATTAGTCCTCTCCCCATACTTTTCACTCCAGGCAAAGTGTCATATTCCCTGACCTCTATGCTTGTCTCAAACTTTTCCTCTCTTATTGGCTTTACTTATTAAATTCTTACCCACCCTTAAAAACTCTTATCAAATGATTCCTCCTCACCTAGCACTCCCTGATCCTCCAGTAATAATAATAATGATAATAGTAATGATGATGATGATGATGATGATGATGATGTTGATAGCTAACACTTACATAGCAGCTACCATGTGCCACGCACTGGGCTAAGCACTTCACAAATACTGCCTCATTTGATCCTCAAAACAACCCTGGGGGATAGGTGCTATTATTATCCATATTTTATTCATGAAGAAACTGAGGCAAACAGAGGTTAAGTGACTTGCCTTGTTAAGTGACTTAAGGGTCACACAACTAGGAAGTATCTCAGGCCAAATCTGAACCCAGGTCTTCCTGCCTCCAGGGTCAGAGCTTTATCTACTACACCACCTTCCCCCCTTGCACTTCACATATCACTTTTACAGACAATTCTCTGATGCATTTACCATGTAAAAATGTATATTATAGTTATCTTAGCACGTCACTCCCCTGCTCAATCAACTCCACTGTCTCCCTATTCCCTCTAGAGTCAAACAAGAACTCCTCTTTTTTGTTTCTAATGCCCTTAACAACCCATCTTTCTAGCCTCTTTAGGTATTATTCCCCTTCTTGCATTCTGCAACCAAGCCAAATTGCCTTTCTCTCTGTTCCTTACACCCAACACTTCACCTTCCACCTCCACGCCTGTAACCTAGTCCTTTCACTTCCACCTCATGGAGTACCCCTCTTCCTTCAAGATGCTGAGCAAGCCCCAACTTGTACATGAAGACTTTCATGATTCCCTCAAACATTACTGCCTTCCCTTCCAAATGATTCTGTGTGGAACCACTTTGTATTTATCTGTATTTATTCTTCTTCTACTACATATACATATGCTTATATCTTTGCTGTCTCCTCATTAGGAAGTAAGCTTCTTGCAAGGAAGAATAATTTCCTCCATGGTATTTGTCTCTCTAAGGCCTCCTTCAGTGACCGATAGGTGCTTAATAAATACTTAGTGATTATTTTTAGTGTTCATCTTTTATTCCTCTCCTAAACTGGGAGATCCAGGAGAAAAGAGGTAAAAGGTGGACTTTGTCCTTCACTTAGCACAGCCCTCCACATACATTAAGTGCTTAATAAATGTTGGTTGATGGAGCACACCATCACATCAATGCCTCACGTTCAGTGGGCTCACAACTTTGGTGTGTCTTAGATTCACCTCTTGATTTGTACAGGTTCTCCATTTGCTTCTCTATATGACCTCGAAAATCCCTTCCAACTAGAAATTTTATAGCTTTGAGCTTTAATTATAGCAATAGCCTCTTAACCTATATCTCTTCCTACAGTCTACCCTCCACGAGTCCATTTTGCACACCGTTGCCCAAATCATCTCCCTCCAGTTGTGAAAGGAATTGTGTTATTCTCATCTTAAAAGAATCATCAAAGTACTCAGCCTACCTTTAAAGAACCAAACCTGCCCCACTGAGCCCTCTATTGTCAAGCTTGATATTTGAGTACTTCAAAAAAAGGGCCCCATCCATTTTAGCCACGGGAATCTGCTGTGCCACACACACAACTTGCTCATTCTTCCCTACATGCCTTTATTTCTGATTTTATTTTAGGCTCTATTATTCAGGTCCCCTTGGATTCCCTTTCTTTCATCCCTAATCTTACTCCAACTTGTACTTTCTTTAACACGACTACAAGCTTGCATCTCTAAAAAAGCTTTCTCTGTCCCATTTTGATTATTGACTTACTCTGCATCATTTTGGGTATTCCACACACACTATTATTATTCATACTATTCTGTGGAGATGTTTCCCTATCCAACCAGGTTACAAGCTTTTCAGGGCAGGGACCACGTGCCCTCCCTTTCTTTTGTATCTCTCAGCACCTAGAAAAAAAGTTTGCATTTGGTAGGGCCCTAACATATATTTATTCACCAGTTTACAGAAGTGTGACCTCATTTTACCTGTAGAGAGACTAGCCCAAATCTGTGTCAAGTCTAGACACATTTTCTCATAGGTGATAAGACCTTCTCTAAATGGCCTATGGTCAATGGTTAGCTACGTGATATGGCAATGTGTTAATAAGTTAGTGGACATCTACTTTGGGTTTTGAAAATTTGTCAATAATTTAAAAAAATACTAATTTAATAAAAGGAAAACCTTATGGGGGAATAACAGTTACTTTTATTTACACTTGATTTTGAATCTTCACTAATTTCAGGTCCTGTATATGAGTAGGAGATAAATTGAGCAGAAGAAGATTGCAGAGCCATTGATCCAGAATTATGAGACTTGTGTATCAAGGAATATTAGTAAAATATTGGATGCCAAGGTCATATTTGTTCTCTATTTATCAAATTGCAAGAACCCTGCAACAAAGCTATAGTCGGTAGAGTCAAACTACTTTCCTCCCTCTGATGAATGTGTACAAAGGGTAGAGAGCAGGAAGGTGTGGAAGCAGGACCTGAGTGGGCTGGCTGAAAAGCAAGAAAGAATCACTAGATGAGCATTTGAAGCAGGGGAGTAACGAGGTTGACTGCTGGGAAAGTACAGCAGCAGATGGACACCTGGCATGCAGCAGCCAGAGAGAGGGGTCTTATATAGAATTAGGTCATCTCACAGACACATGAAGCCGAAAAGCTGCAACACAAGCAGGGACGAGACTGACAAAGAATGGCTTAACAAGTGAACCTGCTGTGAAAAATACTGTAGTCATAACTCAAATATGTAAAATCTAACAAGACCCAGAATAGCTCCTTTCAAGGATAAGGGTACAGAAACACTGAAAGTGTATGTCATATAAACCAAAACCTGAAGGAAAAATGCAGTCCCAGGAATTTATTGGAATGAAGGATTTCAACTCATATCATTGATTGTATGTTGAATACAGCATTGAATTAACCTTCCCAAGAGGTATATCATGATTTACAATGAACCAATATGTGTCCCATGGTTTGTAGCTATTCTCATTTGTAGAAATTTCTTTAAAAAGAATCTTACTTTAAAAAGCAAACCCTAAAATTTACCATTGGTGTAGCTTCTGTGAAATCCATCAAAAGGTCACCTGGCCCCAAGGTAAACACATCTCCTGTGTCAGAGGGACTCTAAAAAGGCAGAAAACGTTTCCAGGTCAACATGGGCCCAGCATTTTAAAGTATAACATATACTATACTTAATGAGAAAACTACAGTTATATTCCACATTTTTTCCCCTTTATAACACTAGTGTTGGGAAACAGGACTAGCCAATACGGTCTATACTATTTGCGAAGGTCAGAAAATGTAGCTCATGCTTTCAGTCAATGTAGTTATTGCCTCAGACACTTATTAGCTGTGTATTGCTGCCACCTAACTGTTGTCTGCCTCAGTTTCCTCATCTGTAAAATAGGGATCATAATAGGACCTACTTCCCAAAGTTTTTTTTAGGATAAAATGAGATACTATTTGTAAAACTCTTTGCAAACCTTAAAGCAATAATGTTAGTTATTATTTCTCGAGGGCATAATTTTAAAGAATGCAGGATTGTCAATTTTGGAGACTTGGGTTCTAGTCTCATTTCTATTACAAGCTAGCTTTGTGACATTTGGAAAATAACTTCTCTTGGCCTCCATTTTCTCTTCTGTAATGGAGGTTGGGGATGGTCCAATCCTTTCCAGTTTTAAGATGCTATGATTCTAAGGTTTGACCTTAATTATATCTGGTTAACAAAAAGCCATAGATCTTAGAGAAGTAGTTAGGTTATGCATGTGAGCCAAAGCATGGAAGTGGCTAAAATTCATGGAATAAAAGTGAAAGATTACAAGCCAGGTGTAGTGCTGCTTTTTGTGTAAGCTTTAGCTACGTTGTTCTCTACATTGTTCGTGTTGAATTAAAATGGAGCAGAATGATATGTCTTCCACCTCCTATCTATATGTGCTGTACATTTACAGCATGATTCAGCATAGGCAGCCCTTTCTACATCCCTTTCCCTTCTTGTACTGCACCTTTGCACAGGGGGATAGGTGGTTTTGCCCTTCCGACTTCTGAGGTGTGCTGATTTTCTGGGATGCTGGAGATCCTGGTGGTCCTGATGCTGTTGTCGCCATGGCGGCAGCCAGGGCTGGAGGAAGGTCATCTTCATCACTGTGGTTACTGAAAGTACATGAAGCTCTGCTCATTACAACAAAGGGGTTTCCAAAGGAAGGTGATTCAAGAAGGATGTCTTCACAGGGACTGACCTAGTTATTTTGTTCCCTTAATATTGACCAAGCGGCTTATAATTTTGTTTCCAAATAATTTTTTTAAAAAGCTATTTGCTACAAATTATTTCCTAGAGGGAAACAAAATTAGCTTTTTTTTTTTTTTGCATTTTGCATGCTGGCTTAAATTTAGTTTGATATTTTCCATTGCATATAATTCCCTAATAATTGCTAATTTGTTTTCAATCATTTTTAGAGCTGCATCTGTGTCCTTTTAAATATGTTTGTCAAGAATGAAGATATATTAGATCCCTTGAACAAAGACTGAAAATTGTTTAGCTACACACTGATGGCCCTGAGTGTGTGTGCATGCACATGTGTGTATTGCGTGTGTGCATTTTTCCCCAGAATGGCTATATATTCAGAACAATGAACCTAACTCAATTCTGTTAGCAAACGCAATTCGCTGAAGTTTGTTACTCCATGTAGCCCAAATCTGGACAGCAAAAAACAGTCTGAGACAAGAAATAGTGATTGTTTTGTAAGTGTGAGGGCCCTTTTCGGAAGTCCATCAAACACTCATGAGGCTTTAAGGTAAAGAAAACAAAAAGCTTCCCTCATTTGAGAGAGGTTCTCATTGTCGGGGTGGGGGGAGGATTCTTCCTTCTCTGCATTTTGTCTTCTGTTTGGTCATCCTGGCTTTTCAATGCTGATGCTGCTCTGTATGAGCCACTCTGCTCCCAAAATATTATGGGAATAGGATAGACCTTTGAAGAGACTCATTATGTAAGATTGCAGGATTTCTCAACTAAACAGTTTTCCCATAGACCAGTTTCCTTAGATTCCCCTGAAAAGAAGAATCACCAACATGTTGATTCTTGAAGAGCCAATATTTTTTTTCAGGCTCATTACACCCCTTTGTGTCTCCCCTCTTCACTAACAGTCACTAATTTTCCTTTACTCAGGTACTTAAATAAACATTTAAAAAATTAAAAAAACAGTTTCATGTTCTTGATAGAGACAGGGCAGTTTCTATCATTAGGGAACCAAATGTTTCAATCATTTTAAACCCTCAGTAAATAAAAGCCATCTAACACCATTTGAATCCCCTTCCCTCATATTCTTTATTACTTTTACCATAACCAACGTGGTAGATACAGTGCGTGTGTGTGTGTGTGTGTGTGTGTGTGTGTGTGTGTGTGTGTGTGTAGAAATAGTTCATGGAAGGGTACTGGGTTGGGATTGAGGGTATGGGGGGAGGGGAGCATTAAGAAATGTAAAAACAAAAGGCTATAATAAAACTTTTTTTAAGGAAAAAAATAGTTCGTGGAGTTTTGCTGGCCTGTTAAACCTGGGACTCTAGTTTACAATGTTATCCTTTCTGATGCCATGCCAAACCTTCTGTATTTTATTTTATGATCTGCTACTCCCTCATTTGCTTTCGATTCTGCTCGGTTTGCCCCCTTTTCCTTTATAGATTTACAGATCATTTTGAAAATGCGACTTAGTCCAAGCGATTCAAAGCTACAAATATTCAGACTCCTTGCAGTCAGGCTTTCTTAAGAAGTCTAAACCAAGTTTCACCAAGCTGCCTGAAAGCTCTAGATCAGCCATTTTGAATCACTGCAGGACATTTAATCCTCCCCATTCCTTCTGTTGGCACTTCTTACAGCTTTGGGACTTACAGCTAGGCTTTCCTAGCATCTGGGGCACAGTCATCTTGACCACCCGATGTTCTCTTCCCATTCAAAATTTGCCATTGTTCTTAAATAGGTGGGATTTTATCTGATTAACTGTGATGTGGTCTTCCAACTTACCCCAGAATAACTTCTCTTCCCACCAGAAAATACAATTAAAAAAACAACAAATTTTTTAAACTCCTTTTTTTTTTTTTAGCATATAAGCTTCAAGAGGTCAGGGTCACCTATTATGTAGGTGTGCAAACTCAGCACTCACGAATAATAGCAAGGTTATGTGTAGATAGTCCTTGAAAAATGCATATATTGGGGCAGCTAGGTAGACAGAGCTCTGGCCTTGGAGTCAAGAGGACGCTAGCTCAAATCCAGCCTCAGACACTTGACACTTACTAGCTGTGTGACCTTGAGCAAGTCACTTAACCCCAAATGCCTCACCAAAAAAGCAAAAAAAAAAAAAAGCACACATTTATCCTGAGGAAAACGGAACCATACCCAGAATACAACTTCCCTTTGGAATATATACAGAAGGGTCAGACATAGGATTACAATCTATGAAGACCAAATGTCCTTATTTCTGACCTTGCCTATCTGGCTATGAAGTATTCCTGGAACTGTTGTACTGTTTCTGGGGAAGTTTGGAGAATCTAGCCCTGCACTCGTAGCTCATGATTACCCATCATCCCTTCTAACATACCAGCTCTGACTATTGTAGGGGGCAGCTTTAATGTATTATAAAAGTTATTTATGTTGTGAAAGTGAAGAACAAGAGTTAGCTGGCCTGGTCCTGCATAAGTATGCATAGAACATTATAAGAACAGAGGAGGTTTTCCAGCATCTTTGAGTTACTCTCTGGTAATAACTATGTCTCTTCCTTAAGGGTTAGCCTACAGATGGCTTCAGGAAGTTACTCTAGAAAAAAATTACATGGAAAAAAGTAAAGAAGTTACCTTAAACTCTCACTTAATTTGTCATCCTCTATAGAGAATTCATGTAAAGATATGGATAAGAACAGTATAGAAAAGATGGAGGGACCGAAGCTTGAAACAATGGAGGAACGACTCATTCTGATACAATCTTAAATCTTTTAAAATATGACCTAAAAGCCTAACTAATGAAAGTTCCCTCTCCTCCTCACCTCATTTAGTAGGGGAAGATATTACCCTTTTAGCAACATAGGAACTTTTTATGGAGATGGGGAGAAGAGGAGAAAGAAAATGGAAACAGCTATTATATATGCATATTGTTCTCTTAATTTTTATCACTGTAATATATCCATGAGAGACAATATGGAATAGTGGCTAGAGACCTGGCCTTCGATCCAGAAAGACTTGGTTTCAAGTTCTGTCTCTTACACAAATTATTATGTGATGCTGGTCAGGTCACTAAACCTCTCATTGCTCTCTAGGCAACTCCCAAAGACCATGGAGACATGTTTTGCTGACATAAAAATACCCAGAATGCAAAGCACTACATGTTTTGGAAGGAGGCTATACATTCTGTATATTTTTGTGCCTGAAAATTAGGCTATAACTCTGAGTTTCAGATCAAGTGCCAACCTGCATTAGTGAACCAAATTTCCTCATACAAGAACTCCCCATGCCACCAAAATGACAGGTCCAGTCCCTGTCTCTGATGGACCAACAAAGCTTCACAGTTGGCTATGAAATCTCTCTGGAACTGGTATGCTGTTTCTGAGAATCAGTGGGACAAAGTACATAGAGAGATGGCCTTGGATTCAGGAAGATCTTGGTTAAAATTCTGCCTGGATGTGTGACTCTGGACAAGTCACTTAATCCCTTAGTGCCTCAGAGCCCAGGCAACTCTCTAAGGCTGTAAATGGCAGAATAGGAACCAATCAGCATTGCATTAGTAAAAAAGGAGTCTGCTCCAAGGAAATCAAAGGTCTTCTTCCTTCATTTTCTTCTTCCCTCTTTTCCCCCTTACCCCATACACCAAAACTTGCAGTGTAGAACTCACAAACTGTATTGTCTTGTTAATTTTCTCACTCGTGGGGGCTTGATTTCTTGCTTCTCTTGCTTTTCTGTAGCGGGTTCAGTAGCTTCTACTTTTATAGAAGGAACAGGGCTTCTGGAGAGAGAAAAAGAAGCATATGGTAATGTTTTTGCTTTACTTATTGTTTTCCCAACTAAGCCACACCTGAACATCCTAACTTACTTTGTGAATTAGAAAATCCATTTGTTTTGTAGAATGGTAATTCTTTGAGGTCAGGTAATATTGGGTTTTTGTCTTTGTTTCTATCCCCAGTATCTAGCACAGTACCTTAAACATAGTATATATTCAATAAATGTCTGATTATCAAACTGAATTTATTTCCCTTTCTTGTTTACTTATCGTATACATGTATTTATTTAGAATGTAAAAATTTGTTTTGACCTAACCAATACCCAAACAATCCCCCTGGGATATAGTTTTTTGTCTGTTAACAGCAACATGGGATATGTCCTTAAACTTTGATAATGTAGTATTAAACTTGACTTGTATCCATTTCCATAGCATATCCAAAATAAGCTAAATGCACAATTTAAACTCCAAAAGAAGAAAAAAAAAAGTCAGACCAAGGTTCTTTCTGGAAGTTATGTGCCCACTCTACATCCACTCAAAAAGCAAACTACATTTTGAATATAGTCCCATTTTCCCCTAGTTCCAAGGGATGTAAGTGCCTATTATTTCAGTTGTTTTTCAGTGTACAACTCTTTGTGACCTCATTTGAAGTTTTCTTGGCAAAGATACTGGTGTGGCCTGTCATTTCCTTCTCTAGCTCATTTTACAGATGAAGAAACTAAGGCAAATAGGGTGAAGTGACTTGTCCAGAGTCACACAGCTAGTAAGTGTCTGAGACGAGATTTGAACTCAGAAGATGAGTCCAGGCCCAGCACTCTATCTACTGTTCCACCTTCCTGCCCTAAGTGCCCATTATGAAGATCCATAATAGGACAAATTTCCCTAATTCTATTAAGGGTACAATGATTTTAACAATCACCTAGTTTCATAATCTTGAAATTATTTTTTATCTTTTTCCTTTCCTTCAAACCTGTTACAATCAGTTGCAAAATCCTGTCAATTCTATTGCCTCAATCTGTCTCTCATTAGTCCCCCTGTCTACACACACACACACACACACACACACACACACACACACACTCTACTGTAAAATCCAGGCCCTCATTAATTCTCATCTGCTCTATTACAATAACTTCCTAATTGGTCTCTGTCCTTCTGATCTTTCCTCCTTTCTGATCTTTTATCTTCTGTATAGCTGCTAAACTAATATTCTTAAAACACAGACCTGGCCATGTAAACCTGCCCTACTCAAAGATTTGAATGGTTTCCTATTGCCTTTAGGATAATGAGTTTCAGTCTGATTGAGCTCACCACAATCCACCTATCTTTCTAGTCACTTTATAGTAATGATAGACAGAACTAGAAGGGACCTTAGAAGTAATTTAGTCCAATTCTCTCATATTACAGGCAGGAAAATTTAAGCTCATAGAATGATTTGTCCAAGGTCACTCAGGAACTCTGCTGAACCCAGATTCTCCAGCACCAGGGCCAATTCTCTTTCTACTGCATTATGCATGCCTTCTTTCATGTACTGCCTATTCCAGTCAAACTAGCCTACTTTTTGTTCCCTATAAACAACATTCCATCTCCCAATTCAGCCTTTGCACAGGTGGATATCTCATCCACCTTCCTACATGCCTAGAATATATCCCCTCTTCCTCCTTCTCATTTCTGATTCTTAGAATCCCTAGCTTCCTTCACAGCAAGTGTTTCATGTTTGTTTGTTTGTTTTTTGATTGATTGCTGCCCTGGTATTCCATGGGATGGATGAGGCTGGGGCTGAGATGGAACATTCAGAGAGATAGGAGGAAAATCAGGCTAGAGTAGTGTCATGAAAAACCAGAGAAGAGAAAGTACCCTGGAGAAGGTGATTGACAGTGTCAAAGGCTACGGAGAGGCCAAAAAATATGAGGATTGAGAAAAAAACTATTAGATCTGGCAATTAGGAGGCCATTGGTAATGTTAGAGAGAGCAGTTTCAGTTGAATTATGAGGTCAGAAGCCAGACTGTAGTGAATTTAGAAGAGAATAAGAGGAGAGGAAATGGAGGCACTGATTGTAAATGGCTTTCTCAGGAATTTACCCATAAAAGGGAAGAGAGATAGGAAAATAGTCAAAGATTTAGTTCCTTGAATGAGAGATGGAAAACAGGGGGGATGGAGGAGGGGAGCATGGCAACAGGGTGAAAAACAGCTGTGATGAGTGAAGATGAAGACTCATAGTTCCAGGGAGTTTATAGCTGGGTATCTTAGCTCCTCCCAGGTTCAGTCTGGAAGCAGAGCAACAACAGTGGAGGGGTAACAACAGCTAGGGTGAAGACGAAGGCGCAGGTCCTTGGGAATCTACACCTTAGTACATTAGCTCCCCTCAGGCATGGGATCCTACTTATCCTTTCTCTGAACCCTGTGAAATTTGCTTTCCAAAATCTTTTTTTTCAAATTCTGTCCAGCTTTTCCCTCCTTCTAAGATGGTGTGGTCACTTTCCTCCAAGGTTCCCATTGTTTCTAATTAAGCAGCCAATTCTTTCTAACTATTCAGAACCAGGTCCAGAATAGAGGCTAGGTTTGTTACTTCCTCCACCTTTGGAAGGATTTAATTATCATCAAATTTAGCCATTAATGTATGAGCTGCTTTGTTTTTGCCAGTGAGAGTTTCATTAGCTGTCTGTGTAACTGAAGTTCCCTGTAAGCAACATATCATGCCTCTACTCCAGGCTTTTTTGTTTTGTTTCCCAGACTCCTTATCAATTTCTTCATTCTGTCAATGTAGTCATAGTATAATGTTGTTGCTTGTCCTTCCTTCTTGACGAGGACCATGACATCAGGAAGGTGATGCCATGACTTGCAAGTGAATTGGATTTAAGTGAGCGAGGCTGTGCAAAGTCACCAGCCTCACTTTCTCCTCCAGAGCCATCTGGGTCCAGTGGCAAGACATAGATCAGGACGACTGGAGATGATCCTCTGTAGTATAATGTGAGGACAATGCAAGCTCTTTTTTTTCTCCCTCTATTGATATTCACCTCAATTCTTAATCCTGGATACTTTCACCAATTTGGTCCTAGAGGTCTAATACCTTGAACCTACCTTTATTCCTTGACCAATTAAAAAAAATTCCAAGCAATTCCTGGAGGGAATGAAGCAATAAAAGGATTCATCGAGTCCTCTACTCCCCCACCTTGTGAACAAAGAACTAAAATTCTGCCATGACTAGCACACTTCAACACTATCATAGGATGGCATTGACACACTCTGTCCCCTATCCCCAACTTGTTATAAACAATTTATTTATATAAGCATGCCCTAGTTACTAAAGAAAATCTTCAGAAAGCCAACAACTGTATTCAAATTTGAGAGGGAAGTGAACAGAAGATGGCTTTTCAGCCAGTAGACTGGACCATAGTTGGGTACCTTAGTGATACTTTGAGCTAATCCTAGGATACCAACCAATGTGTTCCATTGGTAAAATAAAACAAAACAAACTCTACTCCAGCATCTGGATATAGTACAGGTCACAAAAACTATCAGGAGAATGTAAGGGTCATAGGAAGAAGAGAAGAATATTCATAGTGGGTGATTCCTTGTTCAGAGGTCCAGAAGCAGCCATTTTTTCAACCTGATAACAACAACAACAGAGTTCTGCTCTCTTCCTAGGGCAGGTATCCAAGATTTAACAGAGAACCTCTCAAGGCATATTAAAATGGATAATCACTACCCACTTATGGGAACTCATGTAGGCACAATCGATTATGCTAGAAAGGAGTCTAAAAAGCACTGACAACAATCACAATATCATAGGTAAGAAATGGAAGACCAGAGAGAGACAGGCTGTATTTTCCTCATTGTTGCCCATTGAAGAAGAAATGCAAAAGAGAAAAATTTGAGAGGTGAGCTGCTGGTTGAGAAGGTAATATGAGAATGGAATTTTCACTTTAGAATGCTGGCTTAAAATACAGGGTGTTTGAAAAGACTCAGGACAGTATTGTATTAAAATGGCTACGATGTTAGGGATTCCCTGAATAGGGATGTCATATTCTTGGCTAGAGATGAACACACCTAACAAATACTGGGAAAACTGCATTTTCTACTTGTCTTCCAAATCTAAGGAAAAGAAGCTTTAAACTAAAAGTGATGGGTAATGCATATGAATATCCCCCTAGTTCAGACACTAGAGAGAACACTACAAAGAAGAAAAACTAGAAGTTGGAATACCCAGAAGTTCTATTGTATGTTGTTCAGTTATTTTTAGTCACATGATCCCATTTGGGGTTTTCTTGACAAAGACACTGGAGTGGTTTGCCATTTCCTTCTCCAGCTCATTTTACAGAAGAGGAAACTGAAGCAAACAGGGCTAAGTGACTTGCCCAGGGTCCCACAGTTAGTAAGTGTCTGAGGCCAGATTTGGACTCACAAAGAGGAATCTTCCTGACTCCAGGTCTGGCACTCTGTGCACGATGGCGCCGTCTAGCTGCCCCACCCGGAAGTTCACAGGCGCAAAATTTAAGAAAGGAGATTATACCCACGGCCTTAAACTTCTATGTACAAATGCTCAGCGTTTAGCCTTAACGATTTCTCACCAGGCTGTGCTCCTCTGGACTTCTCCATCATGGCCCAAAAACCTCTTCATTCTAGAAGAGCACTTCAGCCCCAGAATTCATTTCTCAGAAGTACCCTTCCCTATATTCCCTCCCTCCATTTGGATGGCTCCTCCCAGAACCTCCATTTAAGGAGGGTGCCCAGGCTAGTCATCTCTGAATTTCTCACAAGGCTGCACTCCAGACTTTTCTACCATGCCCCAGAGCTGGTTCCTTTCTCTTTCCACTCCATCCTCCCTTCAGCATCCTTTTACAGTTATCTCTTCCTCATCACAGGGTTAGGGGCACAGTGCCCCTGCAATCTGGAAAATCTGCCTAAAATATTTTGCCTTTCCCTCCATACCAGAGAAGTCTGAATTTTTTTTTCTTTTTCTTTCATGGGGTGTTTACAATACTTCATTATAAAATTTGGGTTAAGTATTTGGTCATAGGCTCTGTGTCATCTGCTGTGTCTTCATGTCTTCTATGGCTTCTGTGAAACTCCCCAAAATTTTCATTTTATTTCTTATTCCCAACCCGCAACATATTGAAACTGAGATGGGGAAAGTCACAATGTGGAAGGGATAACTGTATATATATTGTCTTCCCCCATTAGAAGCTTCTTGAGGGCAGAAAACTATCTCTTTTTGCTTGTGTTTGTATTCCCAGCACTTAGCACAGTGCCTGGTGTATAGTAAGTACTTAATAAATGCTTGATGAGTGACTGAGGAGGCAACCAAGAACTGGAAGATCTAACGAAACCAGGCAAATCTGATTTCACAGACACCAGTGAGATTCGGTGGGACAAAATCTATGATTGTACCAAGGCTGCCCAACCTGAGAAATGCCAGGCTGGATGAATCAAAAGCTGGAATTAAGGTTGCCTAGGGAAATATAAACAGCCTCTGATATGCAGATGAAACACTCTGATGGTAGAAAAGGAAGAGAAATTAATGAGCCTCTTGATGAGGGTGAAAGATTTGAGGAGAAAAGCTGGCTTGAAGCTTTACATCAAAGATGTAAGAGCTTGGCAACTGGTCACATCACTTCCTGGCAAATAGAGGGAGAAGAAATGGAAGCAGTGTCAGATTTAATATTCTTGGGCTCAAAGACAGTGACTGCAGCCACGGATGGAAAACTCCTTAGATGGAAAACGATGGCAAATCTGAACAGCATACTAAAAAGCTCTTGCCAACAAAGGCCCGTATAGTCAAAGCTATGGTTTTTCCATTAGTAATGTATGACTACGAGAGTTGGACTATAAGAAAAGCTGAGCACCACAGAATTGACGCTTTTGAATTATGGTGCTAGAGAAGGTTTTTGGGAGTCCTTTGGACAGTGAAAAGATCAAATCAGTCAATATTTAAAGAAATTAATTCAGATTATTTACTGGAAGGTCAAGTGCTGAAGCTGAAGTTTAAATACTTTTGCCACCTAATGAGAAAATGGGACTTATTGGGAAGATCCTGATGTTGGGAAAGATTGAAGGCAAAAGGAAAAGGGGATGGCAGAGGATGAGATGGATGGATAAGGTTATGGAAACAATGAACATAAACCTGGACAGACTTTGAGAGATGGTGGAGGCAAGAAGGGCCTGGTGCACTATGGTTCATGGGGTCACAAAGAATTTGACACAACTGAATAACTGAACAACAACCATAGCTCTGTTATTCAAAAGAAACAGGATAAAGACAATTCTGAAGGACTTATTGTGAGGGAAAATGCTATCTATCTCCAGAGAAAGAACTGATGGACTATGGATGCAGACTGAAGCATAACTTTGCTTTCTTTATTTTTCTTGGATTTTTTTTTGGTCTGTTTTCTTTCACAACATGACCAACATGGAAATGTTTTGCATGACTGCACATGTATAACATTAAATTGCTTGCCTTCTCAAGGGGGAAGGGAGGAAGGGAAGGAGAGAATTTAGAACTTAAAAAATTTAAAAACAAATGTTAAAAATTATTTTTACATGTAATTTAGGAAAAATAAAATATTTTTTTAAAAGAAAGTGGATAGGTAAAAGGGGAGGTAGGATAGCTATTTTTAATTAAAAAGGTATACTCATGTGAGGAAATCCAGGAAAGAGATGGGGAAGCATGACAGAGAGTATCAGAGTGAAGGTCAAATGGCCAACGAAACAACAGTGATTCTGTCCCTGGAATATATATGATAGACCACTTGACCATAAAGATGAAATAAAGAGTTTGAGAAACAGACAGGTCTGGCCTAGAGGCATGATATAATATTGATTGGGGTAGAGGGACTTCAATGATCCATATATATGTTAGATCTATCTCTCTCTCCTTCATCTCTCTCTCTCTTTCTCTCTCTCTCTTCTCTTTCTCTCTCTCATAATAACTTCTTTTTTGTGAGGCAATGGGCTGAAGTGACTTGCCCAGTGTCACACAGCCAGTAAATGTCAAGTATCTTAGGCCAGATTTGAACTCAGGTCTTCCTGAATCCAGGCCTGGTGCTCTATCCACTGTGCCATCTAGCTGCCCCCTCATAATAACTTCTTGAAACACTTTTTTAATTTCATTCTTCAAAAGGTAGAGGAAGCAACAAGGGGAGATTCTTTTCTAGATCTGATTTTCACTAACAGGGAGGTCTTGGTTGTTGCAGTAGAAATGATGAGAGACCTGGGGGGTTAGGGGCTGAGGTGGGGAAGAGTAAACTTCCTCTTCATAGGCTGATGATAGAGAAGGAAAGCAAATCCAGGCTTATTTCAACATATAGCACAGACTTTGAGAAGGCAGATTTCAAATGGGAAAAAGATAGGTAAGCTCTCATGGACTAAAATGTAAAAAGGAAAGTCAGCCCCAGGAGGGATGGGAGATGCCTGAAAATGAAATTTTGAAGACACAAAGGGAAACAATTCTGATGTGTACAGAAAAAGTGATCTCTGAAGAGGCTAATGTGAATATTCAGGGAACTCACCAAACAACTTAGATTTACAAAAGAAATTCAAAGAAGATAGAAGCAAGTTCAGAAAAGGGAGGATGAAAATAAAAGTATGGTGTGATTTCGTAAAATGAGTGTCAGAAGTGCTAAAGCTTAGCATAATCTAAGGCTCAGGAGGGAAGCTAAAGACCAATAAAAAAAAAAGGGGGTTTGGGTTTTTTTTGTTGTTGTTATATTGGGAAAAGAAAGAGGCCCAAAGTAGGACGGAACCTTTCCATGGTTTGAATGGAACAACAATAACTGATAACAGAGGGAAGGGGCTGCTTCTTAACTCTTATTTTGTGTCTGTTTTCTCTGCCAAGGAGAATGACCTTTCACTGACTGGAACCTTGGTCAGTCAGGAGAAACATGGGGCACCTGGAATTAGGCATGGAGAGCACCAAAAGGGAGGACTGATATAGAAGAAGGACAAGAAGGGTGCTGAAGGCAGATTCCTCTTACTTTGTGATTTTGCCTAGGGCTGGCCCTGCTAGGAAATTAAGAACAGAGAAACCAATTCAAGATGGAGAAGAAATAGCTATGAATAAAAAGGATCTCAGGATCAGACGGATAATATGGTGATTATAAATTCAGAATGGCTGGTTGTTTGGGCAAAGAAAATGAGATTGTTGATTCTAATGGCCACCCCCTCCCCATGCCTGGAATGCGCTCTCTTCATTTCCATCTCATGGTTTCTCTGGCTTCCCTCAAGTCCAACTAAAATCCTATCTTCTACAGGGAGCATTTCCTGGTCCTGCTTAATTCTAGTGCCCTCCCTCTGTTGATAATATCTGTTTTTTCTTGTATATAACTTGTTTGTACATAATTGTTTGCCTGTTGTCTCCCTCATTAGATTTTGAACTCCTGAGAGCAAGGACTGTCTTTTGCCTTTCTTTGTATCCCCAGTGCTTAACACTGTGCTTGGCACATAGCAGGCACTTAATGAATGTTTATTCACTGATTGACTGACTGATTTTCAATCGATATGTACTTGCATCATGACAAAGGACAACCTATTTCCATATGAATTAATCTATAATATTATACTGTCATTTTTTTTTGCTTTTTGGTGAGGTAATCAGGGTTAAGTGACTTGCCCAGAGTCACACAGCTAGTAATACACTATCATTTTCAAAGCAAATGTCTACCAAAGCCATCAGATCTTCCCTAGTCAAGCATCAATGACTAGAAGTCAGTATACTGTATTTCAAGCTTTTGTTTGAGGTAGAGGAACTTTAAATATCTGAAGATCCTTAAATCAGAAGTTTCCTTGCAAATCTTCCTCTTCACAGCCATTGGCTAATGCCAATCAGATAAGCTGAGTCTATTCTTCAAGCCCACTGGGATTGTGCAATTTCTTTTGTCTGACTCTGCTATCATAGAATTCTAAGGCTAGAAGTCTTCACTATGGCTGCATTTCAACCTCTGTGGCTTGGGGGGTTAAATTCCCCTAGAAGACAATTAGGGCATAGGTAAGTTCAATCTGCAGAAGGGAGAAGAATAGGAAAGAGAGAATGAGTGAACAGCTCTGAGCAATGGCCAGGCATTATGTCGATTTTTCTGTTCTATATCATCCTGGCTGACTTACCAGGTCATATTAGCCTCTTCAGCTTCCTGAAGGCTAATTGCTAAAATAGTATTCCTTATGGTAGAGTCTGCTAATACTAATGATCAACAGTATATTTTAAATCACTGACCTAGAGTTTTTTCCTACACCCTTTGAATTCGAATTATTGCAATTTTATTTCCTGCCACACTAATTTTTAAATTTTATTTATTTACTTTAATTTATGGAATAAAACAAGCATTTCCATAACATAATATAATAAAGAAAAGATGATTGCACATAAAACTGCAAATCTATTGTGTACGACTTGCTATTTCTTTTAAATATATAATAAAGTTATCATGTACATTTCTTTTTTTCCCTCCCCCTTCCAATCTTAGAGATGGCTACCATTAGACACAAATATGTATATCTATGTATAACCATTCTATACATACTTCTATGTATCAGTTCTTTCTCTGGATGCAGATAGTGTCTTCATTATGTCCTTTATAGTTAATTTGGGTATTGATAATAGTCAAAATGACTTATTTACTCAAAGCTGTTCTTAAAACAGTACTACTTTTACTGTACAGGCACTGATTTTTACAAAGAAATGTAATCAGGAATTTTGTTTAGAGAAGAGTGTTGAGGCTATACACATTTAGCAATGGTTCTCTCCCTGCCCCTTCAACCAAGAAGCAACAGACCTTACATTAGGGTCCTGAAGAGTGGATTTCTTATTGACAGTGGCAAAATCTGGCTCCTCTTTCACAGCCTGTTAAAGGAAAGAGACAATTTACTGATGTGAATATCTTTGCATTCAAGAATATTGTAATGGCTAAGATAGTTGATGTAAATGTACCATAAATGTCAAGGCAATATATGAAAAATCAGTTAAAAGAGCAATCATTCAGCAATTATCAAGCGTCTACTATACACCAGGCACTGTACTGGGTATATACCAGGCATGGAGACAGCCTGCACAGGCACAGAGATGCGAGTGGAGCTTAATGTTTGAAAAACACCAAGAAGACTAATTTGGCTAGAATATATGTAAAAAAGAATACCATGTAATAAGGTTGAAAAGGTAATTGATGCTTGTCCATGAATGACTTTAAATGCCAAATTGAAGAGTCTGATTTGACCCTGGGGGTAACAGGGAGCCAATGGAGTTTATTGAGTAGGGGAGTGACATGGTCAGCCCTGTATTTAGTAAAATTACTTTGGCAAATGTATGGAGAAGGGTTGGAGAAAGGGAGATACCTCAGGCAAGAGGTGATATGGGCCTGAATTAGGGTGGTGGCTGTGTGAGAAGAGAACAGGGGGACTGATCTGGCAGATGTTGTAGAGGTAGAAATGACAGGATTTTGCAACTGATTAGACATGTGGAGTGAAAGAGAGTGAGGACTCTGGCTCTTATAGGTATAAGATTAATATTGTGAAGGAGAGCTTTTCTTGAAATATATTTGTGAGTCCTGAAAGAGTAAAAGACTAGAATCTAATACATTTGATTATTTATGTTGATATGAGATTATCACAGAAATATCATACAAGAATCAGTGAGTTGAACCTCTTCATTTGACCAATGAGGATACTGATGACCAGAGAAGGGAAGGGATTTGCCTATGCTCACACAGCCATCATATGCAGTCAAACCCAGGTCTTGTGACTATTAGGAAAATGACTATTTCACAATGTCCCTCCTAGCACAGAAAACCAATTCCAAAGGGAAGATTAAAACAATTTCCTTGAATCATTAATCTTTCTCCTCTCAACATTGTACAGGTCTGTCAAAAAGTAGCAAGATTAACCATTTGAATTTTATCTCCTTTCTCTGGTCAGCGTTTCCATTGGTGTTGGTGTTAACCAACAATTACAGAACCACAGAATCCCAAGAGTTAGGAAGGCATCTTAGAGTTCTTCTAGTTCAATCTGAACAGAAATCCTCTCTATAACATCCCTCTGAACTAGTTTTCCAGCCTCTGCTTAAAGCTTCCAGTGATGGAGATTTCACTATTTCCCAAGGCAATTCATTCTAAAAAGCTGACAGGGGTTCCCTTGCTTTGGCTATTCAAGTGGATTTCCAAGGAAGACATTTTTTGGAAAAAGAAAAAAAAATCATTTACTAGATGAATGACCCCTAGTCTCCTCTTTAAGTTTTAGTTACTTTGGTTTAGAACTGGAAGGGACTTTAGAGATCATCTCCAAGAATTCTTAACCCAACGTCCATGAACTTGTTTTTAAAAATATTTTGATACTGCATTTCATTATTAATCAATTTCCTTTGTAATCATATGTCTTTTATGCATTTAAATTGTTCTTTTGAGAAGGGGTCCATAGGTTTTATCAGACTGCTGCTAAAGAGGACCATGACTCACACAAAAGGGTTAAGGATTCTTAGCCATAATCCTTCTCTGTCATTTTACAGATGAGGAAACATTTACAGATGGTTTGGCTAAGGTCAAGCAGATAGTAAGAAGCAGAACCAGTATTTGAACCCAGGTCCTCTGATTCCAAATTCAGTGCTTTCTTATGCGTATAACTGCCTCTTTTATGGGATTGCTGCTTGCAAGGAAAGTGTTTTTTAAGCCTTAAAACACCAAATATGTGAACTTTTGTTATTTTGAGAAAGAAAAACCAAAAAAAAATTGGAATTATGGGGGTCATTTAATATTTTTCAGTGCATAAATTTTTTTTCTCTCCCTCTCACTTCTCTCCCCACCACTGAAAAGTTAAAGAAAAGTCCCTGTGCCAAATCTTCATAGTCAAGCAAAACAAATGGGGTAATTTAAAGTTCAGGTCTTTGCCTCTGGTGTTACACTAGGCCTTGTACCAGCCTAGTACACTGTACAGCACATAGTAGGTATTTAATATATTTGTGGATGAGAGCAGTCCTTAGCTTTAGGATATGAAAGTAATAATGCTTAAAGTATCTGGGGTAAAATTCAGGTTTATTATACCAAGACAATAAGGGTCTGATGGTAGCATCCATTTAAAAATTAATAATCTGTAATGACTCCTCAAGGCTACCTTCTCTATTACATGACCTCCCCAGACTTTCCATTTTAGTACCGCTTAGAGCCCTAGTCCTGCCCTTCCCAAGTTACCTGCAGTCCCCAACCATCACCTGTCCTTAAAGCAAGATAACAAAGTGAGCGGAGAGCGCAAGCAATGCTGTGCTCTGGGATGCTTATGATATTGTGCAAAACAGTTTCTTAAGCATACAAAGGTCATAGGACCATAGATTTAGACCTGGAAGACTTGGAGACTGAGTCCAACTCCCTCATTTTACATATGAGGAAACAGGCACAAAGAGGTTAAATGGGTCACACAGCTAGTAAGTATTTAAAGTGGGATTTAAATCTAGTTCTTCCTAGTGCTAAGCCCAGTGCCCTATACACTATATCATGTTGCCTCTGAAAGGGCAGGGATAGTGTAAGAGTTATTTTTCATGTAAATGAAAAAAAAAAGCTGCTAAAGATTTGAAAATGAATGTTGCAATAAATAAGCTTGACTCAAAGAAGGGATATGAGAAGATGCTTTCTCCCCACATTGGAAAGAAGGTAGATTGAGAATGAGGCAGAGATTTCCACTCTTGAAGAATAAGGTCTGTTAAGAAGTAGAATGGAAATTATAGAAAGATATAAGGTCATAAATTCTAAACTGGAAGGAACCCCACAGGCCATTGAATCCAATCTCCTCATTGCCCTCGTCTTACAAATGAAAAAACAGAGGCCCAGAGATTTTGCATGACCTGCCCATGATCACACCCCCAGTAAGTGTCTGAGGCAAGATTCAAACCCAGGGATCTCCCCAGCCATGATGACCTTTGGGAATGAAATATCTTGAGTTCCCTACCCAGCAGAAAAGGGAAAGGCCCAAATGTTGATTAGTCAATTCAGGTATTTCAGGGTATTATTATCTCCTGGAGCTGGTTAGAAAATAAGCCTCTTGGATATAAAGACCATGTCTGAAAGGATGGGTCCAGTGGAAGCTGCCCAGTAAAAAAAGGGCTGGCATGAGACAATGCCCCTAAAATGGCAGGCAGAGGGTTAAAGGGGAAAGGTACTCTAGGGGAAGTAGGCATTACTGTAACTGAAAAGGTATCGAGGCTTTCATGGCTCACACAACTGGAATTCTGAATACAGATCAAGTCACTCACTAGGTTCCCCAAATGAGAACTCCTTGGGCAGAAACAGAAGGCACTGAAGCTTCTACCTGACCTCTCATCAGCTTTCTGAAGGAGAAAACAGAAGAGATTCCCACTGAGTATCCCCACCTTCTGGAACTCTTTAACCAGGAGCAAGCAAACCAGCTGCCTTGGAACTGAAAATTGGACAGCTCCCCCGACTTCCAAGTTTTTCTTCTGTAAAATGAGGGAGGTTGAAATGGATTCCTAAGATTCCTTTCAGTTCTAGTATCCTATGATTCTCTATTACATCTCAATGTTTCTGAACCAACACGTACTACTGTATGTGTTCAGCCCTACAGGGAGGAGGAATAAATGACCTGGATGCTGAAAAACTCTGAAGGTAGCTGGGCCATCAAAACCCATAGGAATGGAATTGTTTGGAATGCCACAGAAGAGATTCCTGCTCAGTTATGGGCTGGACTACATTCCTGGGTGATCTTGGGCAAGTTACAGCATCTATGGGCCTTAGTTCATAGGTTCATAGATTTTTTAAGGTGGAGAAACCTTCCAGATCATGGAATCCAATCATCTCATTTTACAGAGGAGATGTACTGAGAGTCACACAGTTAAGTGTCTGAGGTAAGATATGAACTGATGACTTCCTGGCTCCGAGCCAGTAAGTAAGTACGTATGAGAAGTGGATTAGGTGACCTATAAAGTCCCTTCTAGTTCTAAATCTGGGACTCTACGTTTTATCGGATCCCTTCCAGCTCTGAGTTCCACAAGGAGTTCTTCCTCCACGCAGAGAGAAAAAAAAACCTTTTTTTTTTTGAGTTTCAAAACTTGTGACTTGTGTTGCATCTCCCACCAAGTTCTGTTGGACACATTTCTGGTTCAGGGAGGCTACAGGTACCAACATTTAATAGCTTTCTGACTTTGGTCATGACTCTGCCCATTTCTCTAATTCGTAAGTTGATGAGTCATTCATTCCCTTTCCCCACTCTCAAGTAGCAATCCAAAGTTCTGTTTCAAAGCATTTTTTTTGGACTGGACCTATTTTTTTTTTTTTAGCAGGGGAAGTTTCTAGTGAGGAAACCCCTTCTACCAATGCAGATCAGAATCTGCTTGGCAACTTATAGTAGTAGAGAACTGCCTAATGCAGTGATGGCAAACGTGGTTCACAGCCTGCATCTGGCCCACAAAATCCCTGAGTTTGGAACAGGAGAGAAGAGGCCTTTAGGCTTTTCATTCTCTTCAGTCTCATCAGTTTCATCAGTCTCTTGGATTCTTCAGGGCTCTGCTGTCTCAAGAGATAAGATGAATGATGCCAATCTCATTTCAGGCTGCTGAAGAGAGAATATGACCCTGGGAAGAAGCTGGCATGACAGGAGCTGGCAGTGTCCATCATGTCCCTGTCCCTAGCTTTGGGTGAGATTAGGACTCCATTTCGTTCTCCTCTCCTGTCCTCCCTCTCCCTCTTCCTCTCCCTTTCCCTCTCCCCCCTTCCCCCTCTCTCTCTCTCTCTCTCTCTCTCTCTCTTTTCTCATCTGTCTTCTCATCTCTTCTCTTCTCTCCCCTCCCTCCTCCTTATTCCTTCCTTTATCTCTCTCTCTCTGTCTCTGTCTCTCTCTCTCTCTGAGTTA